AGGAGGAGGAGGAGGAGGAGGAGGAGGAGAAGAAGAAGAAGAAGAAGAAGAAGAAGAAGAAGAAGAAGAAGAAGAAGAAGAAGAAGAGCATTCCTGAGGAAATTAAAGGGACCTGCTTATTCCAAGCAAGCTCCACATGTGTGGGTGGCAGGAGACACACTGGCTGTGGTTCATAGCTGAGAGCAGTGAATGGCTACTTAGGGGTCCATTTCCAATGGGTTTGGAGTGCCTGACCAAGACCTCTCAACTTGGGACAGATATACATCATCGCTCAAGCTCTGAGTCACTGGGGAGCCACTCAGAATTAATTTTATGGACATTCCTCTGCATTTCCTGATTTTTCGGGATAGGAAAGCAGACTCCTGGGAGAAGAGGAAAACGTCTGTCTATTTCCCAGCATCTTTGTGGTCATTTATCCTCCCTCCTCCCCGCCCCCCCCCATCCCCCTATTACAGCTCTATTCATCCAGCCAGTGGCCCTGAACAACTGGGTATCAGAAGATGCCACAGGAACTCTGCTACTCATTATTATAGGAGTGAAGCTGTGTGGCCCATGCCAGGACATTTTTAAGTCCTGGCCCTCCCTCCAGCCATATATCAGTGATCAGCACTTCCATAGCTAGAGTTGGTGTGGTGGTTTGAATAGGAATGCCCCCCCCCTAGACTCATGTGTTTCATGCGTGGCCCATAGGGAGTGGCTCTATTAGGAGGTGTGGCCTTGTTGGAGGAAGAGCTTCACTGTGGGGGCAGGCTTTGATGTCTCATATGCTCGAGCTGCACCCATCATGGTACACAGTCTCCTTCCACTGCCTGTGGATCAAGATGTAGAACTCTTAGATCCTCCAGCACCATGTCTGCCTGCACACTGCCATGCTCCTGCCGTGATGACAGTGGACTGAACCTCTGAAACTGTAAGCCTTCTCAGTTACATGTTTTACTTGATAAGAGTTGCTGTGGAGCCGGGTGGTGGTGGTGCACGCCTTTAATCCCAGCATTCTGGAGGCTGAGCTAGGCAGATCTCTGTGAGTTCGAGGCCAGCCTGGTCTACAGAGCGAGATCAGGACAGGCACCAAAACAACACAGAAAAGCCCTGTCTCGAAAAAAAAAAAAAAAAAAAAAAAGTTGCTGTTGTCATGGTGTCTCTTCACAGCAATAGAAAAGAAACCCTGACCAAGGCAGCTGGTCTGACTAGTTTTGATGTTTCACAGTCCTGCTTTCCACAGAGAGTTTATGAAGTGTGTCCCATCCCGACCACACAAAGGGTTGTCCTTCATTCACCCAGTATTAATTGCCCACTGATAAAGGCAGGTCCTATGACTACAGCGAGGCAGAATATGATCAAAGGCCGTACTCTCATGGGCCTTCCATCCTATTAGAGGGACTATCGTAGATATCCTTGGAGCTTAACTCCACAGTTCTCAAGCTCAAGACGGAGAGACCCCTTCATTCCTCTGGTCCCTGGGTACCCATCGTATCTCTAGGATATTTTTCTTAGCCTAGTGGTTCAGCGTTTCACCTCCAAACCTGGAAGATTTTGTGAGATTGCCCAAGTCTACATGCATCCAGATCCTCTTAATGTGAAATATTCATATGATCCTGTCTGGAAGTTTAATTGTGATTATAAAAGGAAATTTGATCAGTTCTGTGGAATAGCAAAAGCAGACATATGCTCCTCTCTCTGGCTCCCCACCCATGAAAACAACAACAACAACAACAGACACCCTGGAAAGATTCTGCAGTTAAAATAAAAAGCAGCTGGCAAGAGGCCCATCGTGTGTGACAATAATTAGACAATTGTTTCCCAAGGTGGGGACGATCTTGTGAAGACAGCCTTGGGAAGCAGGGACTTGGGAAGAGGGGGAGAGAGAGGCGCCTGCTTACAAAGGGGTGAAGTGATAACACGATGTCATTCAATCTCTAATTTGGTACGTTTTGTTTATTGTTTTTCCCCATGCATCCTGGGAAACATGTCTTTGGCCAAGAGGGTGAAGAAAAACTGAAGGCTTTGATTTACAAAAATTAAAGCCATGACTAGCTTTGGGTTGAGCCTCCGTCCTGGGCCGGGAAAGCCTCACCCTCCTCCATCTCCAACCTTTCCTGCCCCCGGGGAAGAGTTAAGAGTCTTAAGTTAATGCAGCTCTTCTTCTGCGATCTGGGGCCCCGAGTTGTTTGACCCTCTCCCAAATCATTGTCATCCTGGGTCTGGAATAGCTACACAGCTGGTCGGGGAGACATGGCTGCCTCTGTTTCTGGGTGGCTGAGGATCAGGAGAGCGAGCCTGGGGGCTCAGGAATGGAGAGGAAGCCAGCACTATGGGCAAGCTGCCCAGCTGTAAGCAAGAAGTGCCCTCTCTTGCCCACTTCTGTCCTGGCCGTTAGATATTAGACATTCACACGTTAGTGTGAATCTGAAGGCCATGTGTTAAACCACCCAGAGTTATTTACACTTTAAGTTTAGGCTTTGATTTTAGATGAAAGAAATTTATTCTCATTAAAAGAATTCCAAGTATGTGAACATAACAGAAGAGGCTGTTGGTGTGAAAGAGAATTGAGGGAGAGATAGGAAGTCCTCTGCTAAGCTGTGGAGGCTGCTGAGCTGGGGGGGTACGCTGGTAGGAATCCTACCACCCAAACCAGTGATAGGTAGCATGGTGTGCAGAGAGTATACAGTAAAAGTAGAGGAAAGAAAGATGGTGGGGAGGGTATTTTTACTTCATAAAGGGACCTATCTGCTTTGTGATTCTAAGGGAAGAGACTCCGGGAAAGATGGCAGATTAGAAGCCGAATGTGGCAAGGTCAGACAGAGTCAGGGTAAGAAAGCTGAGACTCTGAGGTGGGAAGTGCAGACTCCTGACTGCGGCAGGGAGACCAGCTCCTGTCAGATTTTACCACAGGCCTTTGTCCTCTGTACATGAGAAAGATGCCGGACTGCTCTGTTGAGAACCAGAACTGGGCGTGCTCAGAAGCCGGGGTGACTGTAAAATATATTCAGTGCATTATGCCCTGGTGTTGGCTTTGGGGCTTACTTAATACTTTCTCCAGGTCCTCCTGCCTCTGCCCTTGAGTAGCAGAGACTACAGGCTAAAGCAAGATTTTATTCCCTGTTTAATCAAGAGGTTTTAAAATATAAAAACTGTTTTCTGAGTGGGTATATATACTATGTAAAAGTATAAATGAACACAGAAAAATATAGATAATAAAACAAACTCAAACTCCTACCCAGATATAAGCATTACAACATGTATAAAAACTATTGGCTTATGATTGTCTACATGCATAGCTACCTAGAACTCCCCATTTACAGAAATAGAAGGCACTTACTTCAATGAGCTTACCACTCCCTCATGGGGCCTGCATGCCTTTCCATGCCAACATGCACCTAGAATACAGATTTCTCTGTTTGGTCTCTCTGCCTGTCTTCCTGTCTTTCACTTATTCTTTCTGTCTCTCTTGGTTCTTTCTTTGGTATAAAATGCATAGAACAGTGCACAAATCATACATGTTTTGTATAATGAATTTCCACAGCACACACACAGCACTTAGAACCCTTCCCAGCACCCGGAACACCCCCCCCCCCACACACACACACCTTGTTCCTATGCGACCCCCAGCCCTTTCCAAGATAAGCACTCTGTGGACTTTCTATAGCCTGGGATTGGCTGGGCTGGGTTTGAACCTTACATCAGTGCAAACCTAGAGTGCATATTCCTTTGTTCCATCTTCCCCATATCATCCAGCTTGTGAGCATCACCCACGCTGTGTGTGTAACGTCTATCCACCCTTGTGTCTGTATGGTGGTCCATATATACTACTGGAGCTGAATTTCATCTACCTCGTCTACCGTTGGTGACAATCTGGGAGGTTTCCAGTTTGGGTCTATTTTGAATGCAGCTGCTGTGGACAATGTTGGAGGCGTTTTTGTAGTGAATACTGGCACATATTCCAGGGGTATATACAGAGGAGTGGAGATGCAAACCACGGAGGTATGCTCACTTTCAGTGGACACTGCCAGATGTAGCATCCTTTGTAGGGGCCACGCAGAATTCTTTTCTCTTCATGTACCACCGACGCATATCCTTTTAACCTTATTCCCACCGATGGGTGCTTATCTATTTGTTTCCCTCACTTCCTCCCAAAAGGAGTTGAGTCATCAGGAGACTGATCTCTGTGCTGAAGTCATTCAAGCCTCGGGCCTGCTGGAGGTGTTGTGGCTTAGGAAATCATCACTTGCTGGGGCACTGTGCACACATAGAGGAAAGATCAGTTTTTGTCATCCTCAGCACAATGTTTTTATGAACAACAACTAGTGGGAGTCCACCCCCCAGAATATAAACGTCACCTCAGCCCCCAGTGCTGCTAGTATGTGAAGCTGAAAGGACCAAGCAGATGCCATAACAGGCTGCTCAATCTTCTCTCAGAGATCAGGCCTCAGTGTCAGTTTCATGAGACTTAAGTAAGCAGATTCTGGGAGGGCCATGAACAAAAGACATAGTCCTTGCAGTAGCTCCCTTTCTGCACGTACTCTGACTGCTCAAGGTTCAGACAGTTGTTTACTGTCTGGGACCCCTCACCAACTTAGAGCTACATGCATGTATTGGAGAAATTATTTTGGCCACTCCACGTAGTTAAAAGGATATTTATTTAATGGCGTAACTCACAAATTAAGTAATGGGTAGGTCGCAGGGTCTGGGGAAGGTGTAACGCAGTCCAGCGGTGTTCTCCGGAGCTCTGCACAGTCAATCTGCACAGGTCAGTGTTCCGGCACCGAGAGAGCGCCCTGAGAGAGTGCTGACCCATCCCGCTCTCGGGTCCCCCGGCGCCTCCCCTCGCCCCGCCTCGTAGGCGTGACAGTTGCCAGAGTCTCAATGGGGGTTGGAACTTCCAGAACCAAGCTGGAATGGCTACCCACTACATGCATGGGTCAATGTGAATGTGCAAGGCCAGCCAGCCTCCATGGCAGCTCAAGGACAGAGCC